ATATTATATATTATATTATATTTATTATATATATTATATTATATATTAGCTTTTACTTATAAACCTGTACAACACCATTTTAGTTATTTTCTTAGTCACTGTTCTGTTGCTGTGAAGAGACACCATGACCATGACAACTCTAATGAAGGAAGGCATTTAATTGGAGTTGGCTTACAGCTTTAGAAGTTTAGTCTGCTGTTGTCATGAGAGAGCACAGTGGGATACAGGATGCGAAGGTGCTGGAGAAGGAGCTAAGAGCTCTGTATCTGGTTCCACGGGCAGCAGGAAGAGAGAATGCTTCTGGGCCTGGCTTGGGCTTTTTAAAACCTCGAAGCCCACCTCCCTGACACACTTCATCCAACATGGCCTCTCCTACTCCAACAAAGTGACACCTCATCATGCCCCCCAAATAGTGGTACTCACTGATAACCAGCATTCAAATATCTGACCCCCCTGGAGGCCATTCTTATTCAAACAACATCAGATGTTTATAATATCACATGTTTTCTTGATAAAGTCACTTATTGTCTTTTACTTTCTTTTCAATTTTAAAATTTACCCAAAACTTCTTGTTGTAGCTGAAGTTTTGCAAAGATCTTCACCTTTACAATAAATTTGCTAAGGAGGATGCCTACCTTAAAGCTTTTGTTAGAGAGCTGGAGAGCTGGCTCAGCAGTTAAGAACAGAGGACCCGAGTTCTGTTCCTAGCACAGACACGTGGAGGTTCACAACCATCCATAACTCCCATTCCAGGGAACCAGATTCCCTCTTCTGACTTCTGCAGGTACCAGGCATGCACAGGGTGCACAGACATCCATGCAGGCAAAACACTCACACATATTTTTTTTTAAAGATATCTAAAAAAATAGAAAACAAAGCCTTTTAAAAATGTACCAGATAGCTGTAGTTTTCACTGAACAAGCAACAGAAGGTATTTGTGGAAGAGAGACTAATAGAACCAAATTGATGTTATAGCAAATACAACTGTGTCTTGGGACTGGGAAATATTCCATGGAGAAATAAGGGTGTCATGATATTGGTAAATCAACTAGTAATACAGCATTAGCATAATAATTACATTTCCAGCAGAGTATTTGTTATAATAGTAAATAAAAGAGTAGTATAACAAAATAATTACAAAAAAAAAAAAAAAAACCTTGTTAGGATGCTTACAGCCAAGCATTGGACTGAGCACAGGGACCCCAATGGAGGAGTTAGAGAAAGGACTGAAGGAGCTTAAGGGGTTTGTGACCCCATAGGAAGAACAACAATATCAACCAACCAGATTCTCCAGAGCTTCCAAGGACTAAACCACCAACCAAGGAGTACACATGGAGGGACCCGTGGCTCCAGCCACATATGTAGCAGGGGATGGCCTTGTTGGGCATCAATGGAGGAGAGGTCCTGTGAAGGCTCAGTGCCCCAGGGTAGGGGAATGTGTTGGCAGGGAGGTAGGAGTGGGTAGGTGGGTGGGGGAGCAACCTCATAGAAGCAGAGGGGAACGGGATAGGGGGCTTTGGGGGATGGGGGACTGGGAAAGGGGATAACATTTGAAATGTAAATAAAATATCCAATAAAAATAAACATTAAAATTTTTTTAAAAATTGCTTTTAAATAAGTTTCCTAAGTAGAAGCTTAGTTTGTATACATAAGAAATTTAAAGTGAAAACCCTGGCTACAATCCATTCATTAAAGAAAAAAATGTATGGGGTAAACGATGCCTTTAAATGTGAAACCATGAGTGATTTTAAATTGTTGTTTGCAGTAATGTAATCAAGGACTTGGGAGATCACAGCTTTGATTATTCCCCCCAGCAACAGTAAAAACCTGTGTTCAGTAGCAGGGTACCTTTCCCCCTTTCTTAAATAACCCATCTGTATTAGTTATCTTCTCATGCCTGTAACAAAATACTGGATAAAATCGACTAGGCGAGGAGGGTTTTAAAACAAAACAAAAACAAAAACAAAAACAAACTGTTAGGGGGCTGGAGAGGTGGCTCAGCAGTTAAGGGAACTAGTTGCTCTTCCAGAGGTCCTGAGTTCAATTCTCAGCAACCACATGGTGGCTCACAACCATCCGTAATGGAATCTGACGCCCTCTTCTGGTGTGCCTGAAGAGAGCCACAGTGTACTCACATACATAAAATAAATAAATCTTAAAACAAAACCAAACCTGTTAGCCTGTGTGTCATACTCACCTACAGTACTCTGTTCAGGTTGGAAACTGTGTAAAATCATGTAAGGAATTCCCAACAGGGAACTGCTGGAGGTCCTGAATGTATACACTTCTGCTAGTTCCCTCTTGGTTGTCTTGTTTTGTCTGCCTTGTGGCCCGGCGTACAGGTTTTTTGTCATTTAGAAAGGCACATCTTGGAGTCTACATCATCACACAAAGGCTACCTTCGGCTTTCAACCCAAGTTAACCCTTCTGCCACACATAGACTTATTTAGTCCTAGCTAGGAGCAAGCCCCTTCCCCAACAGCCAATGACTTTTCTATTCCATCCTTCTCTGGAGTTCTCCTGTTCTTTTAGAAGCTCTTTTAGATGTGTTTTGACTTTCTTGGTTTCTCTTCTTCTGGGGACAGCTCACAGTCCCTTTACTTATGCTTCTGGATGAACTGTGCTTCTGACGTTTGTGTTGGATATCCTGTACTCACTTGATTACAGAACTCCTCAAAGCAGATCTGAGAGCTTCCGGAAGGAAGGAATTTGGACTTGTCTTTTATTACTTGCTAAGGGAAGGCGTCAATGGGCAGCAATGACTGATGCTCTTGATGGCTTCCAGCAATACTGACACTGCAGGTCTTCTTCACCTCCACACACTTACGGACCCTCAGACCAGTTCCTACCAGGAAATGGATCCTTTTGAATTCAGGACTCTTTACCGGTTCACAGTACCTTAATCAAACAATAGCGGCAGCAAGCCTAAATAATGGAACCTAGGCAATACTGGTGATTCTCATGAGGACCTCTCCAAGAGAGGGTTGACTTATTCAGTAGTTGCTGAGAGAGATGTTAGAACTTGGGAACATAAAAGTAGACTGTGTTGCCACGGCTGCTCAGGTGCTCATGGCTCTCAAAGCAAGTGGCTTTTCAATTACACTCACAACAAATCTAGTATGAGTTTGTTAAAATTATTTGGCTAAAATAGGAATCTTCTTATATTTCGCTTGTCTTAAATGAGGATAATATACACACTATCCTGACTTACAACTGTTTAACTTACAGTTTTTGATTTCCCTTTTAAAGGTTTTTAATGCTATTTCTAATGGTTTTGTTTGTTTGTTTGTTTGTTTGTTTGTTTTTAGATTTTTGAGACAGGGTGTCTATGTAGTCCTGGCCATCCTGGACCTTGCTGTGTAGACCAGGCTGGCCTCACACTCACAGAGATCCTCCTGCACCACTATGTCCAACTATTTCTAATGTTTTTGTATAGATGCCCAGAAGGAAACAGCTTTTGAATTTGTATCTTGATATTTTCCAAGATTAATGACACTTGGTATGATATTTCCTTCTGATAATGAGCAGCAGCATGTGGCTATAATTCCCCATGCTCACAA